TGGAGTGGTGGGAAGGGGAGATTAGGCGGGGACTCCGCCGGCGGAACGCCCGCTCCCCCGCCCGCGCCCACTTCCGGGGGACCTTCTTTCTAGGGCCCGGCTCCCGGAGCGGGCCCCCAGGCGAGCGGTGGTAAACAAAGGCTCGCTGGCGGTGAGGGCGGGGGTAACGGTCAGGTGACGGCGCCGAGCACATTTCGCAACTGCTTTAATGGGGATTCTCTAGCCTGCAGCCCTGGGACCTAACTTGACCCGTCAGTCCTCCCTGTTAGGATCAAACTGTCGCCCCCACCAAGCGGGAAGCTTTGATTTCAGACCTTCGCATTCTCAGCGCTACCTTCGATTAAAAAAGCGACGTTCCGTTCGAAGCCCATCGGCAAAATGCGGGACCCCTCTCCCCAGCCCTGTCCGCCAGCTGCTCCCCGTCCCCCAGGGTGACCCGTACCTGCTACCCCCCGCCCCGGCGGCCATGCCCCTCCCAACCCGCCCCCGGCGGGTGCGCCAGCAGCGCCGCGGTTCCGGGGCGGTAGTGTCAGGAGTTGGGGGTGCCCTTCCTTTCAGAGTGTGGTTGCGGAACCGGGGCTGACAACCCCCAGGGGAGCCCCGGAGACCTCTCGCCCCAAACAGGGGCCCTGCAGCCCCACCCGCAATCTCTCCTCGGACCCCTCCTCTGGCTCCGAGAGGCCGACCGCCGCAGGCTTCCCTCCTGCAGACATCCCCGTGGTCAAGACCTCGGCCGCTCCTCCGCCCCTGGCTCTGGCCGGTTCCTCGCCTTTCGGCCGGTCCCGGAGCTGTCATCCCCAGGTACCTCTCAGCGAAGGCTGGAGGCGGCCCCCGCCGTACCTTAGCTTCCGGCGGCGAAGCGCTGTCTCCTGCGCCGGCGTCTCCTCGAGCCACCAGTCCCTTCGCACCTCACAACAAAGGAAACATGTGACCGCCCGGGCCAAAACACTGAGCGTCACGCAACCCTGGCCAATCCGAGTGGGCGCCCCCCGCCCCGGGAGACCCTGGGAGTTGTAGTTCCTATTCCGGGGGGGGGGTGGCCGCCCCGGCAGCTTGGATTTCCCGCTATAGGGCGGGTGTCGGACGTGGGGCTTGAGATCCAATCCAAGGGCTATTGACTCGGAAACAGTTTTAGGTAGAGATAGGTTAAGAAACTGCATCCGTGTTAGGAGCCTAGTGGGAAACCTCAGTCGGATGTTTATTGCCACGTCCCTAGGCAAAAGCACATAATCAAGAATTCTCAGAACCCTAGAGTTTGGGACCAGGCTTTAGAGACCTTTTAATTTGACCCCTTGGTATAGAATCGGGAAATCTGAGGATCTGAGAGATGAAAGGGACTACAACCCTAGTAGCTAGACAGCGCAGGGAAACTAAATTTCACTGTAAATCTATTACTGTCACCTGTATCATCCTGGGTTAACTTTCTATTTTAAAAGTACATGCAAATCAGACAAAGTTTTCACAAATCCCTGTTTTCTGATTCCCCAAAAGACAGTATTATTTTTTTAATTTAATTTTATTTATTTTTTTGTACAGCAGGTTCTTATTAGTTATCCATTTTATACATATTAGTGTATATGAAATAGAGACACAGATGTAGAGAACAAATGTATGGACACCAAGCGGGGGAAGCGGCGGGGGTGAGGGCATGATGAATTGGGAGATTGGGACTGACATATATACACCAAAAGACATTATTTTATCTTTTTGTTTCAGCAAATATTTTTTTCAAGGTTGAGTACACCTCCAGATTTTGAAACATTTAACTAGTTTTTGGTTTCTGATATCAAAATTATAATTTCTCTCTCTTCCATAATTTATGAATACAGTCATGCTTTTATTAAATAAGAGGATGTGTTCCAGTGATCAGAGGTGTATATAATATAGAAGGCTTGTGTCCAGGCCTTTTAAACAGGCATTTTAGTTCTCTTTTCCATCTGTTATTAAAAATGAAAATACCTACCATTTATTGAGTTTCTACTAAGCTCCAGACAGAGTGTTAGGCACTTTACGTATATCCTTTAATCTTCATAATAACCCAGCAAGATAGTGTTATAATCCCATTTTACAGGTGAAGAAACTAAGCCACATAGGGGATAAACATTTGGCCCTCGTCACTCAGTTATTAAGTGTTGAGGCTGGGGTTGACACATTTAAAAAATATATATATATGTATTAATATAGGTACATAATTGTCTAAAAAGTGTATTTACAAAGTTAAATATTACAAGTCTAGTAGTACAACTGGAGTACCATCTCCCACCCTTCCTCATTCTTCATTCTCCAGAAGCAGCCACTTTCAACAATTTGAGCTATTCTGATATTTACATTTATCTTTCCATATAATGTATGGCTATTTCCCATTAAGGGAGCTGTCATCCCTGTCCCCCATCCTTCCAATATCTTACATTTCTGCTTAACTAATTATTTAATGTTTATGTTATTAAGACTATGTATTTATTGTTCAACGATGAGTTAAACAGTATACAACTTCCTTTCTTGGATGGCTTTTCATTTTTCCTTGGGTAGAAAGGCAGCTAAGCACCTGGGGGTCCTCAATACCATCATAAAGTTCCAACTCCCTGAGAGAGCATTTAAGGGTCTTCCTGATGCACCCTGGGGCCCAACTCTGCAGCCTGAACACCAGCCTCAGTGAACTTCCCACAGGACTCTTGCCCAAAGGACTCTCGCTGTCTGTCTCCAGGCCATTCCCATCCATATCCTGCTCCCTATGCCCCTTATGCCCCCTCTTCCCCTTCACCCCATTCACTAGGTTAGCTCCTGCTCTTCCTTCCAGGAGTCAGCCTGTGAGTCCTCTTTCCAGGAAACCCTCCATTCATCCTCATTGCCCTCTGGGCTAGGTATCTCCCCTCCTTCTTCCCGCAGCAGCCCATCTTTACCTCCTTCCCAGCAGTTATCATACTAATTGTGTGACATCACACTAATTGTGTGACATCACACTAATGCAGGGGTTAGGGGCTCTCATCCTCTGCACACCTGAAAATCTGTGTATAGTTTATAGTCAGTCCTCCACATACCCAATTCCTCTGTATTGCTTCCACATCCACAGAGTCAACCAACCCTGGATGGTGTAGTACTGTAGTATTTACTACTGAAAAAAAAATCTGCATATAAGTGGACCTTTGCAATTCAACCCTTGTTGTTTAAGGGTCAGCTATATATTTACATGCCTTTCCCAACTGAGTATCCTCTGAAATGCCTGAGGTCAGGGATGATGTCTTATTCATTTTGTGTTGCAGTATACCAAGTAGATGTTCCATATGTATCTGTTAACCGGTGAGTGATCTCTACTTCTTGAGGTTAAGGGGCCTTGAGAGAAATAAAAGTGCCTCCAGACCACTTGGGACGCCCTTGGACTGGCCTGCATGATGAGGTCCTCAGATTCTCTTGGGGCAGATGGATGCAGGGTGATCAATCACAGTTCTGAGAGTGGAAAGGAGTGAGGGGACTCACAGGACAGCAGCCCCGGAGACAGGCAGGGGCCTATTGATGGGTGTGGGAGCTCCTCAGGCAGCCCCCGGAATAGAGGTGGTTTTGGCATTGGTAGAGGGCCCTGGGAGTTATGCGTACCCCACAAATCAGTGAGCATGCCTGCCTGGCAGCCTTTTCCTCAGCTGGCACTGGAACAGAAGCAGAGGTGTCAAGTCCAGGGGCAATCTGCTGAAATTGAGTGATGGTAATATGATTTAAAAAAAAATTTTATTGGAGTATAGTTGATTTATAGTGTTGCGTTAGTTTCAGGTGTACAGCAAAGTGAATCAGTTATACATATACATATATCCACTCTTTTTTTTTTTTTAGATTCTTTTCCCATATAGGCCATTACAGCGTATTGAATGGAGTTCCCTGTGCTATATAGCAGGTTCTTATTAGTTTTTTATTTTATATAGAGTGGTGTGTATATGTCAGTCCCAATCTCCCAATTCATCCCCCCCCCCGTAACATGATGTATTTTATGCAGTGTTTACAATCCAGGTCAGTTTGATCATTTGAAGTAGGTAACTACTGAGGGGAATCCGAGGGTCTTCAGACCAATTTCCTCTCCTTTCAGGGATACAGTATATTGCTGCATATTCTGTCTTCTTGCACACACCACATGGAAGTTCTTGTTCTGCTCTCCAGAGCATTCGTGACAGCCTTTAAGGTCTGAAGGTGGCCAAGCGTCCGTAGCTCCTCCAGCCATTCTTTTATTTCTCTCCAGCCTGCTCCTCTTCCCCACGCAGACAACAGTTGGGACATAGTAAATCATCACTCCCTAGACATACCACACACTTTCAGACTTCCCTGCCTCTGCTCTAGGTCTCTTGCACTTGAAGTCCCCCTGTCCCAAATTCCAGTAGAAATATTGGTCATCCTTTAAGGCCCATCTCTGGTGCCACCTGTTCTGATCCTCTCCTCTCTCCCTCACCCGTTGTGAAGCTGTGCACACCTCCCACATCCTTTATAATGTGACACTAGCACTGTGTTTATACCCAGCCCTTGAATGCAGCTGGATCCTTTGACCAGCTACGGGCTCGGCACATTTGCCCCTTCCCTGCAACAAGCCCCAGCTGCAAAGCACTTGATGAATGGAGATTTTACTGAAGGTTTCACAAAGAGAACTATACAGCATCTCACATCACAAAACTCCTTAACAATTCCCTTTAAACATCTCTGCTCCCTCACCTCAGCTCCTCCTTGGTACCAACTACTCCTCTTTTCCCACCATCCACCCTTTCTCTGGGCCTCTGTCCAGCCACAAGATTGGGGTTCCTCCCCTTCCATGATCTCTGCCACCTTCCCCCTAGACAATCCCCTCTACCCTTCCACCCCGCCCCCCGCCATCTCTTTTTCAGTACTTTGCATTTTCACACTCATCACCTTTCAAACAAGAGAGTTCCACTCTTCAGAAGATACAGAATGCCATAAATAACAAATTATCTCAGCGCACTCCACCGCCACCCTTTTTTCCTCCACAGACATGTTTAACATCTCAGCAAGTCTGTTACACAATAACTCCTCAGAGTGCTGAGTGGAGACAAGAGTGAACACAATACACTATTTGCTCGTGGCACCTGAGCCTCTCCAGTCTTGAGGCCTATCCCTTCCCTCCCTTCTCTGGTGAAGAGAGATGTGACTCATCTCTGCAGCTCTTTTGGATACAGAGGTCTGACTCTCTCTGACTCTATAGTTACCAGGAAGGCTGTCTCACCCAGGCCCAGAGAGTCGTGGGCCCTACTAGGCCAGTTAAACCTTGGAGTCAAACACAGTAGTATTAGGATTTAGCAAGGAAAGACATAGATGGAAAATTTTCCATTTTGAGATCTGGGAAAAGAGGTAAGTCTTCTGCCACCTAGAAGGTGAGCTCCCTACCCCTGCTCCCGAGCTTTTCCTTCTGAAACAAGAAATGTTTCTCTTGGGAGTGGTATGGGTGTAGTGGCAAAGCTTGCTTTGTTCTTGAAACCATCCTTCACAGGTCGAAGTCGATGAGGTGCCAGGAATTGGTACCTAGGTGCCTCGGATCCTGTTTGTGACCAAACTTGCCACACCAGATGCAGGTAAGGATGACTGCTTACCACTGTGAGCCCTGGGCTCTGACTTCAGGGGACTGAGGCATACTTGCATCCTCCCTGCATGTGATGCTGGTCCCTGTTTTTCTCTTCATTTTTCTGCCCCAAGGACATCTGATTTCACCTCCCTCTCTTCTTCCTGATTACTTCCCCAGTAATGAGAATTTAGGTGGCCCCTCTGGTCTCTGAAGAAACCTGATGTTTTGGAAGTTACTCCTGCCCTGACTGCTCTAGGTAGGCCTGATTCTCCAAGGGACACCTCATAGCACCTTGTCCTATGACTTGCTGCAGAACCCTCTCAGGTATGAACACATATGGAAAGTGTCTTCTCCTGCTCATGGCATCTGGTCACAAGTTTAGGCCAGTTTTTAAAAATGACCATAATCCCACAGGCTGCTCAGCAGTCTGTCCCACAGATGGCTGTGAGTCCACATAGAATTCCTGCTGCTGGTCCCAGCAGACTTTGACTTCATCTCCAGTTTCTTGCCACCCTGTGACATTTAAGAGGCATGTACTAATTCCAACTTGATGTTCCTCTGCTGTCTCTGGCACTCTTCTTCCAAATGCCTGCAGTTTAGGACAGTGTGTCTTGTCCATCTTGTGTCTTGTCCATCCCTTTTGCCTGATGGGCAGCCTTCCAAGAATCCTTCAGTAGGTATGAAAGGGCTAGACCTGACCACGAATATCTGCAGCAGACGTTTCCTATTCTTGAAAGACTCCATCCAGTTTCTTAGGAGATTGTGTTGGTTGAGGTTGGCCCACCTATCTCCAGCCCAAGAATTCTCACTGCTCATTGGATGCTCTGTCTGAAGCATCTGTTGCGAACAGTGCAACCTCCCAAAAACTTTAATGCAGATCTCAGAGCAGTTCCCACACACTGCTAGTCCAGGACCACCCTAATTTGTGCTGTTATTTTTCACTCCCTTACATAGCTTAGCACTTTGACAGTCATGTTCTCTATCTCCCTATGAAGATTTGAAACCTAAGTGTTTCCACTGGAGCTTTAGACTTGAAGAGTCTAGGTTCAAAACTTAGCTTTTTTTCTTACTAGCTATATAGTCTTGTGTAAATTACTTAATCTTTCTCAGTTTTCTCATCTGTAAAAATGAGGATAAAAACACCTACCTCATAGAATTGTTTTGAAGATGAAATGAGAAAAAAAATATAGTGTCTGGGATATAGTAAGTGCTCAATAACAACCAAATTTATTACTATTATTACTGTCCCCTTCCCCACCAATTCTAGCTATGTCCTCTATGCTCTGTCCTTTGCTTTAGGAGGGGTAAAGAAGGAAAGAAAGGAGGAGTAAAAGAACATATAGCCTTTGTAAACTATATTTGATAAAAAAAAGCCTGAAGACATGAAGTGATTTAGAAAAGATAGAAACCAAAGCCAGACTTTTTGAACATTCACCAGGGTGCTGTCCTCTAACTTCTTTTGTCTTTCCCAATGGGCATTTATAAGATTAAAAAAGAGAGAGACTGCCCACAAGATGTAGAAAAGCAATTTGCCTCTGCTCATAAAATATCCACACTCAAAGGCCACATCGCTGAACTTAAACCATGGTTGCCTTTGAGATGCAGACCAAGGGACTAAGAGTAGGGGTCGAGACCTTTGTTTTTTTCAGTAAGCTTTTGACAATTAAAAAAAACAAAAACAAAAACTACCTACATATATACACTTTTCAAATTAAAAAAAAATGTTTTAAAAAGTGCTTGCCTGACTAATGTGATTAAAAATAAGCACCTGTGCTAACTATTGTGCAATCTCTTTTGCTTCCAGCCCCAGATCTCTCTGCAACTGGCCTAGAAAACAGCGAGGGCTCCTAGGTCACCAGCATACAGGGACAGATACTCGACGCTGCTTGTGACAGCATTGCAAGCACATGCCTGACATACTTTGGAAAGGCTGCCTGGTTCTATTACTGGTGCATGAAAGTTTTGCTCCGGTAGGAAATCTCTAAATTTAGATGATTTTCAGGATGAACTCTGAGTGATCTTTGTCCCCAACACGAGTAAGGAATTGGAGGTCACCTTGCTTTTTACTATTTATTTTTTTAATTTATTTACTTTATTTTAAATGCCAGAGTTGATGTTTAATAATGCAAAACTTTTGAAGATTGCCATTTAAAAAAATAAATTTATTTATTTATTTTCAATAATAAATAATAAATAAATAAATAATAAATAAATAAATAAATAATAAATAAATTTATTTTTAATAAATTTGAATCTTCGTTGCTGTGCGTGGGCTTTTTCTAGTTGTGGCGAGTGGGGTCTACTCTTCCTTGTGGTACGTGGGCTTCTCATTGTGGTGGCTTCTCTTGTGCGGAACACGGGCTCTAGGCGTGCGGGCTTCAATAGTTGCGGCTTGCAGGCTCTAGAGCGCAGGGTCAGTACGGTTAGTTACTTAGTTGCTCCGCGGCATGTGGTATTTTCCCGGACCAGGGCTCGAACCCGTGTCCTCTGCATTGGCAGGCAGATTCTTAACCACTGTGCCACCAGGGAAGTCCCAAAGAATGGAAAATAAAACAAACAAACACAAGGGAGTATCTAAGATTTCTCCTTTACGGTTCTCATAAAAATTTTACCCTGAGTTCCTTTTTTTTTTGGCTTGAGTGTGCAAATCATTATTATAATAATACATCATAATAATACTTTGCACACTCAAGTGAAATAAAAACAAATCCAAGGTAAAAGCTCTATGGAGGTGTTTAGGATGAATCCAGTTTAGGGATTTAGTTCTTATATAATGTCAAGATGCTTAAAGGTTGCCATTTTAATTGAAGAAAAGACAATTTCACTAATGAGATAATTTTTTTTTCTTTTGCGGTACGTGGGCCTCTCACTGTTGTAGCCTCTCCCGTTGCGGAGCATAGGCTCCGGACGCGCAGGCTCAGCCGCCACGGCTCGAGGGCCTAGCCGCTCCGCGGCATGTGGGATCTTCCCGGACCGGGGCACGAACCCGTTTCCCCTGCATCAGCAGGCTGACTTTCAACCACTGCGCCACCAGGGAAGCCCACTAATGAGAGAATTTTAAGGAATGCTGAATTTAATGGAGAATCAGCTCCTTGAAAGACGAGACTCTACAGAGGATTTTTTGGTATGTGTACAGTCAAGGTATTTTTATTTATGTACTTTAAAAAAATTACTGGGGTGTATTAGACAGTAGAGTTTGTACAGTTTAATGGTTTGATATACGTACACATTGTGAAATGGTTACTACAATCAAGCTAATTAACATACCTATCACCTCAGATAGTTACCGGTTTCTTTTTTCCCTTTTTTTTTTTTTAACATAAGTTTATTCTTAAATGTAGAATAGGTACTAAGACTACACTTCAGGGACTTCCCTGGTGGCACAGTGGTCAAGAATCCGCCTGCCGATGCAGGGGACATGGGTTCGAGCCCTGGTCCGGGAAGATCCCACATGCCAGAGCAACTAAGCCCGTGCGCCTCAGCTACTGAGCCTGCGCCCTAGAGCCCGCGAGCCACAAGTAATGAGCCTGCGTGCCGCAACTACTGAATCCCGTGCGCCTGGAGCCCGTGCTCTACAAGAGTAAACCACTACAATGAGAAGCACGCACACAGCAATGAAGACCCAACGCAGCCAGAAATAAATAAATTAATTATTTTTTTTAAAAAAGAATAAGACTATACTTTTCTAGCTATAGGTGGCAACCGATGTTATGGCAGGGGATCCAAATGTTTAAATAGGAATGGAATTAAGGACCATTGTTGCCTCAAGCACAAGGAACAGCTTACTTTTTGCCAGATTTCTTAATTCCACCTGTGACCTGGGGGCCCTTCCCTGAGGCCTTCGCTTTTAACTCCCTGAGTTTCTTCTGCTCCTCTTTCTGTTTCTGCTTAATGCCTTATCTTCCTCATCCATCTCCTTGGCCTGCTTCTTGGGCTTCTTCTTACCACCTTTGCAGCTGGACATGGTGTCTGCCACTCCTTCCCCAGCTTCTTTCCCTTTCTTATGCAGTGAGAACACTTAACATCTACCCTTTTAGCAAATTTCAAGTATACAACAAAATATTGTTAACTGTAATCATGTTGTTCTACATTAGATCTCTAGAACTCATTCATCATGCATAACTGGAACTTTACATCCTTTGACCCACATCTTTCCGTCCCTCTGCCCCCAGCCCCTGTTAGCACCATTCTGTTCTCTGGTTCTATAGCGTCAACACATTTTAGATTCCACACACAAATGATATCATGCAGTATTTGTCATTCTGTGTTTGGCTTATTTCACTTAGCATAATGTCCCTCACATTCATACATGTTGTTGCAAATAGCAAGATTTCATTCTTTTTAAAGGCTGAATAATATTCCATTGTGTATATATAGCCAACAGTGTTTCTTTATGGAGAATCAGGAAGGTAACTTTGGATTCAGATGGACTGGGTTCAGATCCTGACTCTGCTACCACTGTCAGGGTGACAGTGGATGGTTTATTTAATTGCTCTGAAGCTCAGCTTCTTTGTGTGAAACCTAATAATACCTTCTTATTATGAGAATTAAATGCTTATGAAAAGAGCACATAGACCTCAATAAATGGTTAAGTATTATTCAGCCAGGACATAATGGTTAAGTATTATTTTGTCAAAATATAATGATAATTACTATTATGACAGGACATAATGGTGCATTGACAGATCCTAGCAAAGAAAGATTCTTCCTGTTTAACAAAGAACAACATGGGGTAATGGAAAAAATACATAGAAAAGAGAGGGATCCTGGGGAGCCCTGCCATAACTTACTCAGTCACCCTGGACAAATCACCTAATCTCCTTGAGTCCCAATTTCTTCATCTCTAAAAGGAGCACTGTGCCTTCCACCATGAAGGTGTTTGGGTGAACTATTTCTAAAGGCCTGTCTAGTTTTAGAGGTACAGGAAGTTTGTGTATTTTTTTTTTTTTTGGTACACGGTCCTCTCACTGTTGTGGCCTCTCCCGTTGCGGAGCACAGGCTCCGGACGCGCAGGCTCAGTGGCCATGGCTCACGGGCCCAGCCGCTCCGTGCGGCATGTGGGATCCTCCCAGACCGGGGCACAAACCCATGTCCCCTGCATCGGCAGGCGGACTCTCAACCACTGCGCCACCAGGGAAGCCCCTTGTGTATCTTTTTGATTGAAAGGACTGCAGTGGAAAATTTCTTTTGGTTCAACAAGCACCCAAATCAAGACATTCCTGGGAGCACATAGAATTCTTTGGGAAGGAGTTGGGTGGCTGTAAGAGGCTACGAATGACCAGAAATTAGTTTCCAGCTCTGGGAGTGAAAAGCCTGCTTGATAGGCTAATGGGATTTGGGGGAGGACACGGCTGCTTCCTTTGTGATCAGACTGAACTCGGTTTCTCTACTGAACCTTTAAAACAACTCTCCCACTCCTGAAGCAATACCCTCCACAAAGTCTTTCCAAGCTGGGTCCCTGGACCAGCACGCCCTGCTTATGTAGCCGTACTCTTAAGGGTGGACCCCAGTCAACTACCTTTCCCTCCAAGTCACCCCACTCCTGTACTTCACCTCAGTTTGCCCTGCTCACAGCCCTTCTTGTGGGACTCATTACCCCCCCAAATTCAGCCCTCAGCTCTTTCTATTTTTAACTTCCCACTCAGTGACTTTTGGGAGTGAACAGTCACATGTGCTGGGGAATTTATGACATTACTGGCTCACACTCTCCCTCTTACCTTCTCACTAATAATCCCTTGCTTTAAAAAGAAGAAATTAATAGTTTTTAAAGTTCCCTTCCTCCAAATTTAAAAGTATTACATGCCAACTGTAGGAAACTTTAGAAGGGATAAGGAAGAAATTGGATATCATCTATGATCTTCCAACCCTAAGAGAGCTACTGTTAGCAATATATTTCCAACCTTTTATTTCTTTGTATCTATATTTATAGTGTGTCTATAGCTATTTATACATATTTTTGCATATTTGAATTAATACTTACATGCAAAATAAACTCTTATATATCACCATTTAATAGGTGGCTTTCTGTTTCCTTCTCTCTGATCTGTCTTGATCTTTCACCTCTTGGCAGTCCCAATGACACTGACCTGCAGCTTGGAACTAGCTTACATCAGCATGTTATTACTAAATATTGAGAAGAGTTAGAGTTTTATATGCTAATAAAAAGATATCTGTCCGCAAAGTGAAGATGATTTAGGTTCATCAACTCTTCAGACATGAATACCAGGACAAATTTATTGATGTTTTTTGAATTTCTCAGCATACAATTTCTTTCAGTGTTCCCTTGCTTTTTATTTTTAATTTTATTTTTATATCCCCCTTTTCATTTTTTATTAAACAGAAATTTGCAATAAGGTTAAAGTAAATCTTTCATTAAAATATTACTCATAATGCCATTATGCTACCAATACAACTATTTAAACATTTCATATACATTTCACATAGGCTCAGAATCTGATTACATACTATTATATAAATATATATATTTTTAACTTAAGACTCTATGAGGAATATCTTCTGTGGTGTATTAAGTCCACCCAATTAACTGTTTTCTTTGACTTTATATTAATGATGAGAACAGTAATGGCCAACATTTATTGAGCACTATTCCAGGTGTTTAAGTGCTTTGCCTGCATTTTCTTATTTAATCTCCACAGCAACACTGTGAGGTAGCAACTATTATTAGCTAGCCCCCGCTTTTATAAACAGGAAAACTGAGATTCAGGAACATTAACTAGTTTGCCCAAAGGCTGGAGCGTAGAAAATCTGACTCTGGGGTCTGTGCTCCTTCTGAATCATTATACAGTTCTTTTTGCTTAATAATGTGCCTTGGTAGATATGCTCTACTTTGTTAAACTACTCCATTGGTTTTGGATACTTATGTTGCATCAAATTTTTTCCCCCAATTTCAATAACTCTGCAATGAATCAGTTTCTGCATATAGATTTCTGCTTTACTGCATGATTTCCTTATGGTTAGTTCTCAGAAATGGAAAGGGAAAATAATTTTATTCAAAGGGAGCTTATTGGAGGAGCTGTTGGGAGAAGACAGGAAAATTTATTCAGTTTTTAAGCCACAGGCTCTGTTCCTGAACCCCACACTATGGAGTTGAAGGAGGTGTGGAGGTAGGGATACTGGGGCA